CTGACACGTTTTTCATGAAAATCCATAATTTTTGAGGAATATTAGCAATTAAAGAAAAAACGTTTAGTTTTTTGTTAAGAGAATCATGCATCAATTTGTACATGTTCATGAACATTTCTCGTTCTTAGAGTTACCCGGAATCAACGGCGTGGACGTGACGAAAATCTGATTCCATCGGGGTGCTTGATTTACGTGAGTCCCCTTGCCTCTCACTTTCGGGGTTGCTAAATTTGCTAAATTTCCTCAAAAATTATGGATTTTCATGAAAAACGTGTCAAACAATTTTAATGCAGAATTTTATGTTCTTTCAGAATATGCAATGAAAAATACTACATTTAGTTAAAAAAACAAAGTTGACCTTCATATGACCTTCAATTTTACCTTCATCAAAAACTCAAGTCCACCATCTTGTGACCCCTTCCGAACCTTACAACTTTTGTCTGAAACATTTTTCTCTAAACTCAACAGCGTTTGAAATATTCGCCTGGCTAGATTTAAATAAAACACCTTGTATATATACAGGGTGTCCGACAATTGCTGAATCACCTCTCGGGTATAGGTAGAGCGGGTTAAACCGAGTAGAAAAGTCCTCTACCATTTTGCGATTTTCGCAATAATTAATGGGGAATTAGTTAAAAAATATCGGCCAATTCGCGCGAGTTTAAGTGCGCAACGAGAAGATACCCGTGGCGGTACAGTTATCTGTAACAGTCCACTGTTATTTGGTTACTAGGCACGCGATGAAGCGTTGGGAGGAGCGCTGTACAATTGACAACGGCAACATACGAGCGGTGCTGAACGCTAGATCCTTGCGTCCTAGCGACCACGTAACAGTGGGTTGTCTCTTCTCTCTGCGCGCTTAGACTCGCGGAAATTGGCCGATCTTCTTTAATTAATTTCTCATTAATTATTGCGAAAATTGCAAAACGGTAGAGGACTTTTCTACTCGATTTAACCCGCTCTACCTACACCCGAGAGGTGATTCAGCAATTGTCGGATACCCTGTATATATATATACAGAGTGTCCCGCGAGACTTGTTCCACCGGGAACAGGGAGGTTGATGGAATCGAAATAAATATAAAAGTCCTTTACCGTTTTACGATATTCGCAATAATAAACGAGATATTAATTTTTACATTTGGACTAATGAGAGCGCGTCGAGAGAAGCGCTCCAGCCGCTCGAAGTCTAGCCCGGCTTAATCTATCATACATTGTGCGTAGCGGCATAGACGCGAAACGCTTAACGCGGTGCGGCAAGACGTGAGTCGGGCGCCGAGCCACAGCCGCGTTTCCCCTCTTGCCTCTCCAACGCACCGCTCGCAGCCAATGTATGATAGACTAGGCCGGGCTAGACCTCGAGCGGCTGGAGCGCTTCTCTCGACGCGCTCTCATTAGTCCAAATGTAAAAATTAATATCTTGTTTATTATTGCAAATATCGTAAAACAGTAAAGGACTTTTATATTTATTTCGATCCCATCTACCTCCCTGTTTCCGGTGAGACAAGTCTCGCGGGACACTCTGTATACAATATATAATGTTTGCATATAATACTATATAAGATATATTCTTGTATTTATGTTTAATTATATTTATAATTTATTTTTATGATAAAATATTTTTGTTGTATTATTATGTTCTGTGAAAATTATCTAGGTTACTTATTGTTTGAAATTGAAATTATTTAAAAAAATGTTTTATTTTAATTTTATTATAAAATGCATTAAGCAAAGTTTCTTTTAAATTTTAGAATATTAGTAATATTTTTAGTTTATAAATGTTTATAAATGCATTAATATATTTTTTGTCATAATTTTATATTATTAGATATTGTTTGTAAATTCTCTAAAATATATTTTGTTTCATGAATACTGATAAGATTTTGAGCACTTTTCCTTACCCTTGCAACAAATGTTGGCATTCTTTACAAATTGTGCTAAATAAAATATTTATTTTTATTTATATAAAAATGTGTTAAAATTATTATTTTAATATCCTCTACCCTTTTTTTAGTTTCCATTTTTCATATATATCTTAGCTTATCTTTTAAAATATATTACACATAATTATTCTACATTTTATAATTGCATTTTTAACATATAGAGATATGTAAATATAAATATATGTAAATATACTTAATTTTTTTATTGATTTTTCTGAAAATAATTTTTTAGAATGAACGGGTACCATATAGCATACCTTTTTACTACATTCAAGCACTCACTGCGTTTGTCACGTCGCGCATGTGCGAAAAACCGGGCCAAATCTGGCTACACTGCTAGCGGCTGCCGCGCGCGCGGTAAGGAGAGGAAAGGAAGCGTATACCATGAGAATCGGCCGAAAAGATGAAATAATTCCGAGCCCTGGTGTACAGAGTGATCCATTGGGTAACTGAGCCGGGTTCTAGCACTTTTATTGAATTTTTGTTTTATTGGGAATAGAAAAAAATGGTAGAAGTAAAAGTTGAATGACATAAAAAGACTTATTTTTTTTTTATCAATTTTTTTTTTTTTGTAAGTGCAGTATTGTACCGGAAAAGTGCAATTGCATCTTTTTTGAAAATAAAATTGTATATTTTTTTGCATAAATATGTTCTTTTAAATATTCTGTGTATTAGAGTAAAGTGCTTGAAAAATTAATATTTCACGAGATATTAAAAATTTTTGAGTAAAATATATTTTTTATTTAAGGTGATTTTTTTTATTCAAATGTTCCACCGTGACATAACAAACATGTTGAATATGATTAGTGATTTGTTCTTTGTTTTATTTTTTACATTTGAATTAAAACAGTCAGTAAAATAGATGAGCTCTCCGAAGAGCACCATTATTTTTATTATAACTTTTAGTTTTTTACACATTTCTACTTTTTCTTTTACTCTATGACAAAAGGAAGGTTCATGTACACGTATAATCCAGGCAAAAAAAAATAAAGTTCAGTAAATTCAGTACATTGTGTCAAATTAATAAAGAACATATTGGTTTTATACAACAAAACATTTTGTGATCTATTTTTTAATGCTCTTTATCGCAGCATCAAGATGATTACTATTTACGTTTAAATAATTTAGTCTAATTGTTCTTTTAATCATCAATGGAAATAAACGGATATAAATATACTTTATCTTTGAGATAATAAATTGTTTAAATGTAAATAGTGATCATTTTGATGCTGTAATAAACAGCATAAAGGAATTAATCACAAAATGTTTGTTATGTTACACACGATGAAACATTACAATTTGAATATCACCTTGAATAAAGCATAACCTCATTTAAAAATTTAAAATATTGTGTCAAATATTTATTTTTTAAGCTAATATTTTTATACACAGAAATTTTGAAAAACTTATTTATGCAAAAAAATATAATTTTATTTAAAAAATGCAATTGCACTTTTTCGGTGTATTGTGGCATTTACGAAAAAAATGAATTGATAGAAAAATATGTTTTGTTATGTCATTTTTCACTTTTGCCTCTATCGTTTTTCTTTAACAGAATAGGTGTTAGGACTGCGGCCCAGTTGCGTGATCCATCCTGTATACTAATATTCCACATAAAATTTAAATTTTAATATTAACAATAAGTTCATTTTATTAAATCAAAATTAATTTTGTTATATAAATTATAATATAGAAATTAATACCAAGTTTTGGTAATTAATTTAGAATTACACAGTTAGATCTAATTGTCTTGTTCTTGATATGTTATCAAAGTCATAATTTTAAGTAACAAAGAAAAGATTTCAGCTGTTGCGCGCGTTCATTGTTTATTAAAATGTTATTAACAAGTAAAATTAGCAATTCAAATAAATAAATTAATTAAAAGCGTGAGCGAAGGTCTTTTTTTCAAAAAAAAACTAATCTGATAAAGCATTATTCGGAATAAATAACTTTTCAGAGATATGCCTGCATCTATGTTTAAGAACAGCAAGCCACATTACAACAGTATGACGATTTTCCTTCAAAATTCCTAAACAAGAAAAATAACAGGAATAATTAATTAATTAATTTGCTTATTTTATTTATTAATAACATTTTAATAAACAATGAGCGATGGCTAAAATATTTTTTTGCTACTCAGGATTATGACTTTAATAACATACATATATGTCAAGATCAAAATAATTAAACCTGACTGCATAATTATTAATAATTATCTAAATATTATATTAAAGTTTTTGATTAAAAAAATTATGACAATTTAATATTAACATAAATTATTTAATTAATAAAATTGGTGATTAATTTTTTACAACATATTATGACTTCTTTTTAATATAATATTTTTCTTTCCTATAGATCTTGCAGTACAGTGACTTTTTCTCCAGTATTTTGGCATTTTGGATGACGTTAGTAGCAATGGCGGAGTTATCGACTGATTTTATACCATTATGCCACATAATGGGAGTGTTTGTAATCACTATTAGTGTGCAAATTGATAGAACAGGTTTGATCAGTATATTGATACCGCTATTGATGGGTGTTGTTATACCGGTAAGATCATAATATAACTTTTAAAATTTTGATAAATGCCGTACCAATAAATTTACATACACGGTGTGCTAATTAATTAACAAGACTGACGCTACTACAAAGGAATGTTATCAAACAGTAAAATATGATTATATATTTTTGAAATAATCATTTCTAATAATTACACACTGTTTACATCTTTAATACAAGTTTTCTTTCAAAACACTGCTGGAACCTCTCTTTTAGTATCGCTTTTAGCTGGTTGGTCATTGCATCTTATATGTCCTTTATCGTCCCACATCGCGTTCCTTTCATAGTTTTTTTTATTTTGGAGAACATAAGTAAACTACGAGAGCCAAATCCGGAGAATATGAGAGATATTCGATGATTGAAATCGATATTTTTGTTAAAAAGTGTTTGATGTTTACGGCAAAATGTGCGGGTTCATTGAACAATAACGAACAATTGCATTTTGCGTCGTATCCGATGAATTTAATCCCACAACCTCTTCAAAACCTCCTCATAAAACTTTCTCATAACTGTTTCTGTAGCACTTTTTCTCAATTTATAATAAAATTTGATAATTACTTTTTGCTCCACTTTCAATTTTCTGACAACATGCACAAAACTACTATTACTTTTTCTGTAAAGCACAAACTATTGATTGGAAGTTTCATTTTACACTTTTTGAAAAGAGTACACTTTAGCAGATCTAATCATGTACTATTTTGACCTTTTACGTTAATACTAGATACAGGACACATGCAGTCTCGTTATTTAATTAGCGCACCGTATAGATTAAAAGTTAGCTAATTTAGTAGTTTAGTGGTCAGAACATTCGCCCGGCAAGCGGAAGACCCGGGTTCAATTCCCGGCTTAGCCACTCGCGCCCTGATATTTTTTCTCTCTCTTCCTTTCTTTCCAATAATTCCTATCAGTACATAATGATTCCCCATATGTGAGAACAATGTACTTAACTTTTCGTACTAAACACTCTAAGTATCTCGAATCAGAGATCGGTGTACAAATTAACTGTCTCACGTAGACTAAAAATTAATTTCTTTAAGAAAAATTAAATAATTTCGCACTAACATCCCGCGACGGCTCTCAATGCCTTTCTATTATATTATTTGATAGTTATCATCAGGGTTGGGAAGTAACTCGTTACTTGTAACGAAGTTACAGTTACAGTTATTTTTTTTGGTAACTATAACTTAACTTCGTTCCTTTTTCTTTATCTATAACTGTAACTTAACTTAGTTACACATTTATGGTAACTAGTAACTAATTTAACAGTTAATTTAATATTCTATATACGGTTGTATTAATTGTAAGAATTAGGGCCTATCTAGACAAACTTGCATAGTCGCATAAACATATGCATAAGGAAAGGAACAAAATTGTCATAGAATTTGTCATATTAAAGTGTCATAATTAAGTGTAGATTCGATATTTGTTAAATAAATAGACGGATAAACGTATAGATATTAATTATGAAATTCAACAAAAATAAACAAATTTTCATTTAAAGAATGCACTGCCACCCAGTAATAAATTATCTTTGAGGATTATTATCATATAAGCATAAAGTTGAGATTTTAAGAAGAACTGAAACATTAGTCTACGATTTTTCGGAAAGTTACGACTGTTTGTGTGAAATTCGAGAATTTTTAAACTAAAAAATCTTAATCCTATTATTTTTATTCTAAGTGTATAATGATTTATTTTAAATGATTTATTAATTTAATATTTTAAATGTATTTTTATTTTAAGTTTAAAACAATTGTGATTTATGACATATAAAATAATATGACACAAAATTAAGTACCTATATAGTATATAATAAGTTAATAAATCTTGAAATGTAAGATTCTTATATTTAAAATAGTAGTGCACATTTATTGCAAAAAAGTAACTAAAAAGTAACGACTCGTTACTTTTTGAGTAACTATAACTGTAACGTGTTACTTTTCAGAGTCGGTAACTTGTAACTGTAACTAGTTCTTTTTCAGTGAAAAGAACTGTAACTTTAACTAGATACTTTTACATAATAACTTTCCGAACCCTGGTTATCATATATGAGCCTTTCCTATTATATGTGTTATTTGTGTTTAGCTAATTTAATTTATAATATTTATAATATTTATAATGTTCACTAATCTTACAATCAATAATGCTGGTCGTATACAGTATATGGCTATTAATACTTATATTTTGTTTTTTAATATCACAAAACCTTTTCAAAAGGGATAAGAAAATAAGAAAAATAAATATGCATGTATACACAAAGTGTCTTATTTTAACTTTTGAGTCAAAATATCTGCAAAACAAGGTGTCCCGCAATAAAATATTTCAAATAAAAAGTACAAGTTTTCTTATTTTATAAGAGAGTATCAATAGTACCATTTTAATTTCATATTTGAACTAAAAACTAACAATCTAAATTAGAAGTCAATTTTTTATAATAAAAAATGGCAGTGAATAGTGTTTTTAAAAATTCTTCAAGCAATTTATTATTATAAAAATTATCCGTTCAAATAATTTTCAAAACTTACTCACTATGAAATTTATTATAAGGGTGTTTCATATCAAACGCACTGTATGGTAGTGACACATTTTTGAGATAATTATGAGATGAAAATTCTAATATTAAAATGTCAAGGTTATAATAGTTTTAAAATAAAAAGTTTTTTTAAAGATCATTCAAATTGCTTCAAATTTGTTCGCTCGGGCACGGTATATTGTATAGTAGGGTGCAGTTCCGAATAGGTAAAACGCCCGATTGTTTTGAAACTCCACTATTTTATGTAGTTTGGTGCGCTGATTACGAATATGATAATGAAAATCGCCGACTAGGTCATTTTCAAGGTCAAAACAAGGTCAGAAAAAGTGAAAAAATATCACTTTTTTGAGATTATTTCAAGAAATATTGATGTAACAAAAAAAAGTTTCAAATAAAAGTTGTAGTTTTTGTAAAAATACATCATTTATGTCCTATGCATTTTTTGTGTAAAACTGATAGTTTTCGAGAAAATTGACGTTAAAGATTAAAAACTTTGGTAAGTAGGATGAAACACGGGGGGTTCGGGGGGCGGAGCCCCCCGAGGGGGAAATGGGTGTAGACGGGGAGAGGGGGGGAGGGGCGGAGCCTCTCCCCTCGCCTATTACATAGCTAGTGTCTATTATAGAAGTTGAAAATAACTTTCAAACACAATATGCTCTCTATCTTGCGTAGAGGTCTTGCTAATTTTTTCAGTATCAAATATTTTTAGTATATTGTAGACTCATCATATCTTTAGTAAGGCGAAGATTTAATTCATATAAACTTTCTGCGCGCACACACCTTGCGTTGGGGTCTTACTAATCTTTCCTGTATTTAAAATTTTTAGTATATTGTAGATTCATTAGATTTTTAGCAAGGCAAAGATTTAATAAATATACATAAATTGTATACGCACACACACCGCTACATTCTTGAACGGCATGCGCATGCAAGCTAAGGCCTACCTGTTTACCAAAGTTTTTAATCTTTAACGTCAATTTTCTCGAAAATTATCAGTTTTACACAAAAAATGCATAGAACATAAATAATGTTTTTTTACAAGAACTACAACTTTTATTTGAGACATTTTTTTGTTACATTAATATTTCTCGAAATAATCTCAAAAAAGTGATATTTTTTCACTTTTTTTGGAGTTTTGACCTTGAAAATGACCTTGTCGGCGATTTTCATTATCATATTCGTAATCAGCGCGCCAAAATACATAAAATAGTGCAGTTTCAAAAAATCGGGCGTTTTACCTATTCGGAACTTTATCCGAAATACTTGTCCATTCGATTCTATAATAAAAATATTATCCACAGCGGTTATGGATAAATCACAATATTTTACATCAATAGAATCAAATGCCAACAAGACAATGTAATTTATTTTAATTTTATTA